ATCGCTCTTTCACCCCCTTTGCCCTAAGCAGCAACAGGAAATAAAGCGACTCTCCCTCTAGCGAGGGGAGGGGGAAATGAAAACAATGCCTACAAAAAAGAAAAAGAAAAAAAATAAAATACTAAGCTGACGGGGAATGGGGGGGAAGCAGGATCACTGAATCAAAGGGACTGCAAAAACAATTCACTCAGCTGGATAGTGGGCAAGGGGAACGGCAAATAATAGGGACAGCAGAAACGCACGTGGTGGCTTGAACACACTGAGCCGGCTAGCTGATACCAAAACAAAGGAGACACACACGTGCTGCAACGCACACCTTCAAACAGTCTCTATAATCTGTTCCCCTGCTTCCTAGCTTTACGTGGCAGTATTTAAAAGAGTAAACAAGCCTGCAAAGGCTGGCTGCCACTCGCAATACCCCAGGTGCTCCTCACAGAGAACCGATACACCAATCAAACGCGCGCACACATGTCAGAGGAGCTTTAAGGGAGAAATCACGGACGGAAGGGAGGAAGGGAGGTAGCGGCAGAAGGCAGAAGGCAGGAGGAAGGGATCTTGCAGGGATAAAGAGGAGACACAGGAGCAAGGGACGTCAAGGGCAACAGGCAGAAGAGCGCACAGCACGAGAATAAAGCTACGAGCCACTTCCCTGCTAGAAGGTCCCTTTCTGTTGATCCACGTGGTCGCAGCGATGAGAAGGACGACCTGACCTCTCAGCTGATCGGGAGTGAAGAGGGCGGACCCTGGGCGTGCCCGGCTTAAAATACCCTAAGCCACGCCTCCCCCCGGCCCGCCGATAGGCGGGCGGGGGTCGCGAGCACGCCCAGGGATTCCCCCAACTCTCGCGGGGGCCAAGGTTAGCCCCCGCGCTTGGGGAGGAGGGGCTAGACCGCAACCCCTTCTCCTCCCTATGGTCGGAATGGCTTTCTTTTTACTATAGGAAGAACATTCACCAGCACTTTACTGCCAGCCGCTCCTAAGAAACCCCTTTATGTATGCAGTTCGGCCAGAATTTGATCCCAATACAAAGCCCTTTTGTTTCTCATTTTCACCACTATGTTCATTTCCACGCACACTTTCCTCTCAAATGCACAAACACTGGCTGCTTGGAGAAACTGCATGGCGCATTTCGGACCAGGGAGAACATTTTAGAGCGGCTGTGTTTTGAATTGTTTTGGAAGGTGCGCATTTGGTAAACACAATTGAAAGGGGACTGAACTGGATTCCTCCCGCTTCCTTGGGGGCGGAAGGGCTCCTGCGAGACGAAGGGGAAGAGCGCCAGGTTCCCTGCAGTGCTGAAAGGAGAGAGAAAACATCACATTTTAGTGAAGCGGGTCTGTGGTTGGGAGGGACGCTTTTTTGGACTTCCCAACACCATGGCCTCTCAACCTCACCTGGTGGCAGGTTTCAGGTGCTTCCATCTGTCTTTTGGTGCCAGCAATATTTCCCCCCAGAGGAAAAAGCAGCGCCATTCCTGGAGACCCTGCAACCCCAGGCCGATGTGGGGGTGGAAAGGTCACGAGTGGGGCAGACTATCTGCCCACACCACAAGCTCCCTAGTGGGGGGGAGAGTTGGGGGGGAATGAACATTTGGCAATTAATGCACCTCTTTGGTTGCAGATAGTACATGGGTAAAAGTAAAGGTAAAGGGACCCCTGACCTTTAGGTTCAGTCATGGCCACCTGGGGTTGCGGCGCTCATCTCGCTTTACTGGCCAAGGGAGCCGGCATACAGCTTCCAGGTCACGTGGCCAGCATGACTAAGCCGCTTCTGGCAAACCAGAGCAGCCCACGGAAACCCCATTTACCTTCCCGCCGGAGTGGTACCTATTTATCTACTTGCACTTTGACATGTTTTCGAACTGCTAGGTTGGCAGGAGCAGGGACCGAGCAATGGGAGCTCACCCTGTCGCGGGGATTCGAACCGCCAACCTTCTGATCACCTGCGTCCCAGTACACGGGTATATTTGTCTAAAAAGCATGAGACTCAATTTCCTTGACCCTCTAGCAGCTATGGCAGCTCATTTACCAGAAGTCATGCATTTAGCATTAATTTCCTTCTGGTGGTGGGTGGCGCTGTGGGTAAAACCTCGGTGCCTAGGACTTGCCAATCGCATGGTCGGCGGTTCGAATCCCGGCGGCGGGGTGTGCTCCCGTCGTTCCGTCCCAGCACCTGCCAACTTAGCAGTTCGAAAGCACCTCTGGGTGCAAGTAGATAAATAGGGACCGCTTACCAGCGGGAAGGTAAACGGCGTTCTGTGTGCTGCGCTGGCTCACCAGATGCAGCTTGTCACGATGGCCACGTGACCCAGAAGTGTCCTGCGGACAGCGCTGGCCCCCCGGCCTATAGAGTGAGATGAGTGCACAACCCTAGAGTCTGTCAAGACTGGCCCGTACGGGCAGGGGTGCCTTTACCTTTTACCTCCTTCTGGTAAAAGAGCCACCGTAGCCGCTGGAGGGCTGTGAAATGGGCGTCCCGGGCTTTTTAGACTCACCTGCGCATGTACTATCTGAAACCAAAGGGGTGCCTTGGTTGCCAGACGTGAAATCCCCTGGCATTATATTAAGCACTCTTTATAAGAATGCAGTTATTTCAGAGAAGATTCCAGGCCAACAAGGGTTGCTTACAGAGAAGTATCTTTATTGCCAAGAAGAGTCAAGAACAGGAGCAGGAGTCACTTCCCAGTTGGGCACAGAGCCATCTATAGTGGAAACGGCAGCATATCGGCAATGTGGACATCGCAGTCAGGACTCAGCCTCTTTCCCTGAGTGCATCTGCCGGCAAAGGACTTTCGCAAAGCTGTTTTTTTTTTAATAATAATATATTTTTATTTGGTTTTCAACAAACATAAGATAAATGATAAAGCGAAAGCAAAAAAGAAAAAGTATTTACACAAAACAATATCAAAATGGGATTCCCTGATGCCCGGACTCCCTCCACAGCCTCCCTGGGTCCCATCAATTTTCTTTTCAGCTGCATATCATTACTACTCCAAAATTTCTTTTCCTAAATTATTTG